AGATTTTAGAATGCATCAATATTTTCAACTAAATGAGTGATTAACTTTAAAAAGTCATATATTTTATATTCAGCAGCTGAATAAACTCTTTTTGACTACCATGACTTTCTGGCTTTCTCTTCGGGTCATGATAATCAGAGATAATGTATGTGTGTTCAAACTGTAGTTATTCAGTGAATAATCACATGAATTTTAAGTTAAGAATGAAATAATGAAACGGCAAAAAAAAGATTAAATCAAAATTTCGTGTTTCTCTTAGGGCGCTCCAACCTATTCTAACACAGTTTAGTGAGTGTTAAATGTTAATAGTGGCCATTGATGATTCTGCCGACAAGTCATTTATTCCTTTTATTTTGCTATCACTACTGATATATAGATATAATGCTAATTTTCTGGTACTCAGATATACACGTAAACGACGGCAGCCCGGAAGCAGCAACATTAAGATAAAAATCGCTACTAGTGGTAGTACCAAGGTCATGAGAAATCATAAAAAGTAAAATATTTACAAAATAATATTTTGAACTAACCAGTCAAAACAATCTATCTTGGATCAACGGTCTGTTAATCAGACATTTACAGATTAATAACGACACCGTTTTCGCTATTCTAGCACAGTGGCCATTCTTCTAATAGCAGGCGCACATCAGAATCTTTTGCTCATAAAACATTTTTTCATGAATAATTATCATTGCTTAGTCATTTCTTATGCTTTCTAAGCAAAAGTAAACATCTCAGAAAAAATTACTTTTTTGAAAAAAACAGTCTTATCGGTTCATCGGGAGGATATTTCTCGATACAATGCTTATTGTGTTATTGTTAGCGGCACGTGCCGCAAACACAAGATGTCACGTTCCTTTCTTGTTTGTCCAGGTCGTTCACAATGGACACTCTTTTTTTTTCCGTCCTTTTCTTTCTTTGTATATGTACAGTATTGAGTGTATGTATAATGATTCTCGTTTTTCCTGTTCATACACGACGATATATTTGTTTCTTCGTATTTTTAGTCTGTATATACAGTAGTCTTATTCTTCTTTTTTTTCTGGTATTATTGTTTTTTTTTGTCTGTATATATAGCGTGTATTTTACTATTTTATAATATATACATTTAGTTTACGTTACAGTACGATCGCATATTTTGCGAAATCGTAAAGGGAGAAGCAGTGTTTTTTCTGAGTGGTTTTTTCACTGCTTGTGCTCACTGCAGTTATCCATGATTCAATGCAGCTCGAGCTTTGGAAATAAATTTTTGTTCTCTGTGGCTGTAAGACGAACCGAGAAAGTTTTACATTGATATGTCTCAGAAAGAGTTTAGATTTTTAGACTAAATCATTTTTGCTAATAACTTACGAGGGAAGTCCACGAACTTGAAAATCGTTTGTGGGCCGAAACCTAGTGCGTAATAAGTAGACGCAGATGCTGATTCCGAATATAAACATGAGACGTTAGGGCTCCAGAATTCTCAAAAGTCCTCAAAACGTTTTTTGTAATAACTCATAATTGTAGCCCACGAAATTAGAATCAAAATGAGACATCTGCCAACTCACACGACCTTTATTTGCAAAGTTAGAGAATGTACAGGATGAGACCTAAATTCCTTTTTCTTTTTCCTTTCTGCATTTCTGAGGTGACAATGAACATTTAGGGCTCATCTTGTAAATTCTATAACTTTGCAAAGAAAGGTCGTGTAGAGCTAAGAGATACCTTATTTTGATCCTAATTTCGCGGGCTACTGTGCCGACTTATTCAGAAAGGTTTTCAGGTTTTTTTGAGGTTTCCAGAAAACTGGTTTTCCAGAAACCAGTCTCTGGAGGCCCAGAAGCCCGTCCCATGTTGACATTCGGAATCAGCACTCTCGGCTACCTATTATGCACCAAGTTTCTGCCCGCAAAAGATTTTCAAGTTAGTTGGACAAAATCAGAAAAAAAGAATTTAACATACGGTATTGTGTTTTCAGGGTAGTTTTGGGGTTTTCCTTCTCAGCTAGAATACACATCCACAAGTTATATAAATGGTATCAGGCCATCGAGGAAAATTATTGCAGCGCTATTACTAAGAATCGTCCCAGGCTGCGAAACGTCTGATTTTGCAGAAAAATGTTTGCTCTATGAATTTGTTTCAAGGAAAAAGTTTAAATTTAATTGTGACATAAAAATGAGCAATCGGCAAAACGATAACTGTATACAATAACTGATCATCAGTTATACAACTGTCTGTGCCCCTTCAGCAGTTCGTTTAGAAAACGTCTAGCTTTTGTCATTCAATTTTCTGCTTGACGCAAACAGATAGTTCAAACATTGTTGTACAAAATGAGATATGTCGTAAGTGGGGACAATTTTACACAACCGCGTTAAAACATATTCTCCGGATGTCCCCAAAAAATAGTCACCAATAACTGGTCCATAACTACGCCGAAACAAAATTTCTCATGGAAATAGAAGTCCATATATCGACGTATATTATACTCTATTTAAATCCAGGAAAAGCGCACTTTCTATTTCTGGCCAAATGTCCGCCTGAATGCACACTGTGACTAGATAGAGAATAACACGTCCTCAAAGAGTCAGGACTGGTCAACCGACCACACCGGTACCAATCCAGTTATACTGTTCCTTAGGATGCGTCCGCGCAAGTCCACCCGCCGTTACATGACATTATAGCCGCAAAAATCTCAACACTCCTTCCGTGTACAGCATAAAAAGTTACATAGAACTCTATATTTGTTCGCTAAAAAAGTTTCTACATGCCTGTTTGGGGAGGTCAAGTTTTGACTTCATTTACAATGAAGCAACTTTGACCTTGTCTTTCTCTACATCTATAGAGTTAACATCGACGTTCAGTATGCCATACGAAGAAGCAGCTCGAGTAGTATAAGTGCTACTACTAGGACTGTAAAAGTTACCGTTACTTCTTCGGCTGTTATCGACAGCGCTAACTGAAAACACACTTACCGTTAAAACAACGCTAACTATCTTTTCAGTTACCGCTGTTTTAACGGTAACTGTGTCAGAGTTGTAATCGGTCTGGAAATACTAGACAGGTCCGGTCCGGCTAGTCACCGGCCGGTCTAAACATATTTCCAGACCGGTAAAAACCGGCGAGTTCATCAAGTTTTTTCAAGTAATAACATTGACATTAGGGACAAAATTTGTAGTGTGTAAATGTAATAGTCTGTCTGAAACAGTCATTTGTCGAATGACGAAACGTCACGAATAATTTGAAAATAAATTTGGGAAGAGATTCACTATGTCAAATAACAAAGCCAATTAAGACGAATTTGGGTTAGGAAGCTACGGTATTGGCATATCGAAAGTAAAAAATTAGATTAACATCAAAGGAAAAAGATAAAAGCATATAAACGCCAATACGTGACAATATCCGATTGCTAAGATATTTTAAACAATAAATAATATGACTTTGTCTTTGAAAACAAATTGAAAGAATAAAAAGAAAAAATTTACATTTCAAATAAAATTGTCACTCTCTCTTTCCTTTAAAAAAACTACTAAGCACCTATACATAGTATCTTTCTGATGAAAAATGAACGAATATGCACAACTTTGTGAAACCGGCCGGTCCAACTCACTCGTCCGGTACGGCACCGGCCCGGTTACAACTCTGAACTGTGTTTCCAGTTACCGTTAAATCAACGTAACGGGAACTTTTACTGTCCTAGCTGATACTCAAAACTTATCCTATTACTTTTACAAGCGCCGGCTAACTGTCACAAAATGGCCGAAAATGAGAAAAATGGCACTTAGTATTTCACCCCTCCTGAAGGCAAAACAAAACAAAAGGTTCTCGCACTATATTTAAAAATGAAGCTAGAGAGCTGCTTTGATTTTGATTCAACCAAGTTGAAGATAAGTTAAAGGTAGCATTAGAGCTTATTCTGGCTCAACTGAAATCAAACGGGTAAAAGTTCTCCTAAAATACTGAAAACGGTAATCGATATTTTTGACTTTTGTGATTAAGAAAAGAGAATGGAAATAGGGTGTCAGCTCTCATATCCTTCGGTGAGTCTAAATAATGGGAAAACTCTAGAAACTAGGTCTACCCAGGCCCGTTAGTGGATGATATCACTCAACGAGGAGATAAGAGGGACCACAGTAAAAAAATACCTAATGAAAAGGGATCGAGTGTAAAAACGAATATCAGTGATAATACGAATATATTTGAAGAAATGTAAAATACGAATGACTAACAACAAGTCAGACTGACAAACTAAGAGATTTCGAGAAAAAACTAGAACAAAAATGAACATATATATAATCTATATGTGTATAGTAAAGGAAAATTGAAAAATAGAAAATAAACTAAACACAAAAGCGAAACAGTCTATGACGAAGAAAATGAATGTATATATTCACTAAAGAAAAATGAGTACTGACTAACCTTCTAAAGAAAACTAACTGTCGTGTGAAAATAAAGAACTGTAAGTGAAAATAAAGAAAGAAATCGTGAGGAAAGAAGACTCGAAAGGATCTGAGAACGAGATATGGCTAGACCTCTATCTTCTAGAGTCGAGTGGAGGATCCTTACACCCTCCCTGCTTGATGCGATGGCTATATCCAACGATGAAAAAAAAGAAAATATCACTGATTGAATAAGTTTTTACTGAGAAAAGATATACGCACATGTGAAACAAGTAAATAAAAACAACAATAGAGAGAGAAAAAAATATCAAATGCACACAACAGAACAAAAACAAAATTTTAAACTATACTCAGCACTTGAACGAAAAATCTTTCGCTTTTCTAACAAAAAAATGTAAGATCTTTATGTGTATATTTTTATGGAACAAGAAACAATAAGATAGAAAAATCATAGAGACAAAATAGCGCAATGTAATGTGAATACTTGGTTAAGGTAAAAGATTGAAATATATCGGAAAAGGGGTATCAATATGACACAAAAAAAATGAAAGTATTTAAAAGCTACAAAATACACTCAACTACGGAAACAAAACCTGATTAGAGTGAGAGAGAGTTCGGAGGTAGCTAATGAAATGCATCATGTCTAATTGTTTCATTAAACTGGGCAACTAATGCATCTGTTTTTAATCCAATAACAACACGATTGCGATGTTTGTCGAGACGAAGATGTACATATGGAACTTGTAAATGACGTAATCTTCGTTTAACGTCTTGATGACGTAAATTGGTATTTAAATAACGGACAATAGTATGGTCGAATCGATGAGGACGACGATGTTGACATCTAATATAATTACGACGTTTTTTACTTGCAGTAGTACGATGTTGAGAATGTTTTTGTTTGACTGGAGAAGATGATCGTTGTTCTGTTGATGGTGGTTTTGATTGTGCGCTAGGAATTTCATCATCAGAAATGCCTTCATAATCGAATCCAAGGACATTAGATATAACAGCTAATGTTGAAGGAGGAGGAGTACGTGGTGTTATTGTAACAATTCTTGATGATGAAGCCAGAATTGGTTGATGATCTCTCATATATTGTACTAATTTTGTGGTTGATTGACAATCTTTACGAGCATAAGCAACCAGATTTTCACGACGTGTTAATTGTTGACGAATATTATTTGTACGAGCAGAACCAACGAGTTTTGGATGTATATAAGTACCCAATAACGGATCTAAACCACATGCCCATCTTGATATCGTAAAAGATTTGTCCAAAAAACGATTCAGAATAACGGCAACAGCGTTTTGAAGACTCCATGTTGCCTTGGGGTCGCTATATGGATTAATTGGTTTTGTTGGTAGATCAAAGGTTGGTGGAGTTAATATTGTCAATACATTTTCGTCTTGGTCTTGA